ACAAGCCCCAGCATGGCTGGGACGGGGACGGGGATGGGTGGGTGTCCCGGCAGGGCCCCCTCTGCAGGCAAGGTCCCGCCAAGCACCCATGACATGAGTTTTGGGGTTCTCAGCCAGGCGTGGAGTGAGGTGCCGCCACATCCCCTTGTCTTCCCACATGCGGAGGAGACAGCTCACCATCGCTGACTCACACCGCTGGCAGGGCGAGCGGGGAGGGGACCCCTGGCCCCGAGCATCAGTGGGGACCCCCTGGTGCCTGCTGTCCCCCCTTCATCCCCCTGCCCAGCCCCGGGGACGGGGAGGGCTGCCTTTTGGGAGCCTGCCCTGCGGTGCCAGCAGCGATAACCACATCCAGATGGGGCGGGAGGGGAGGGCAGGATCTGACGCCGCACGGGGGCAGCGGGAGGGGCCGCGGATGTGTTTTTTCCCAAAAAGTTTTCCCAGCCCGGAGAGGAGTTTGGGCAATCGGGCGCTCCCTGAAATATCTCACAGCTGGAGCTGGTGCTCGCCCGCGAGGGTATGGGGAGGTCGGGGTGCTGGGGATGGCTTCCAGGCACCCAACCCATACTTGGCCGCAGGTGAATCTCTCGGCACCAGTGGTCAACACCAGCTGCTGGGACCAGCCCACCCTTGTCCCCGCCACCTCCTATAAGGTGGACCTGTTCAACGGGCACCTGGCCGGTGTCCTCCTCACCTCCATCTTCGTCACCGCCCTGGGGGATGTCACGGTGGCCCACTTGGGCACAGCAGAGGGACGCATCTTCCAGGTGGGACGGGGTGCTGGGTGGGGTGGGGGGCTGCTGGCGGGGTGGCGGAGCACTTCAGGGGCTGTGGCTGGTGCGGGGACGGATGCATGCGCCGCCATGAATGCGCCGGCTCCTGGGTCCAGGACAGCTGCCCGCCCGTCCTCACTGACGTAGGTCTGCGCCGGTGTTCCCTCCTGCACCCTGCAGCTCCCGGGCACTCGGGTGGGAAGGAAGGTGGCAGATGGGGTGGCATGTGGTGGGACCTTTGCTCTGTCTGGAGACCCCCTCCCCGGGATGGGCATCGTACCCCTCGGGGAAGGGGCTCTCCAAACCCGTGGCCATCACCAGGCTTTCGGGGCTGGGGGTGACGCGGGTGCTTCTCCCACAGTTCCACCCCCGGAGCGCCCCGCTGCGGGGCCAGACACGGGTGACGCTGTGCGGCATGACCTTCCGCTCCCACCTGGACCCCGACCCCCGCCGCAGCCCCCCCGGTGCCTACCGGGTGACGGTGGGGCAGCCAAGCTGTGCGGTGGT